GAAAGAGTAATCTAGGTCAAGATAAAGTGATAAATAAAAGGAAGTCCTGGAGTTCATCTGAATAATGATGAAGTTTACTTTGTAAGACCAATTGAAATAACTCTATTATGTGATTGGCAGGAAATAATGAAAGGATGCTTCAATTGTTCCCCCAGGCTTTGAAAAGCTGACATGTGTCATGATATCATGAAAGTAACAAATCATTCCTTTTTGTGAAGTAACATTCATGGAATTCTTCTGAAAATTGTCTGACAAACTATAAGTGTCATATATAATTTCCTTACTATTATAATCCTTGAACCCAATTTGGTTCAAAACATCTGGAATATATTAGTGCCATATGCTATCATAAGCATTTACTTTGACCCTCACTTAGTAAAAGGAGTCTTTATGTCTAATTTAGACTATTGAGGTTACTACGTTGACCTGAATTTAAAGCATGTTGGGGATGAATATTCTCTCATCCTCTGCAATATTAAGCAATAAATTGCTTTTGGTGATATTGCATGTGCATCCATTCAAATAAACAGGGCAATTTATGCAAATATAACTGTTCTACAAAAATCTCATCCTCTGAGAAAATCGTGTTACAGTCCTCTCTGAAAGTTCAACAAGGAGCAACATTCTTACATATTTAAATCTCCCATGACTTTCCATGAGAGAAGAATTAGATGCTTCCTTTGAGAGTTTAGAGAAATTGTATGGAGGCCTCCATGTTCCAAACAAATTAGATGGCCCCCAATGAAGGATGGCTTCTTTTCTCTGACATCATTGTCTTGAGTTGTCTATCTGAGTTTGATAAAGCAGAGCTCACTTGTGACTTGTGTGCATGGTGGGGACACTTCAAGCTATAGTTTTACAAGCAGCCATTGTTTCAGAACTTAAGTGTAAAGTAAAATTTGGAACTTTTAGAGATTTATAAAGAAGAATCACAATGTTCAAAGTCAAACTGTCCAGAAAGAATGGAAGTAACTCCTTCAAGCCTTCCAGCAGTACATAGAGGCACCATCATTGAGCTTATGTGATCTCTCTCCTCTCCTCTCCTCTCCTCTCCTCTTCTCTCTCTCTCTCTCTCTCTCTCTCTCTCTCTCTCTCTCTCTCTTTCTCTCTCTCCCCCTTTCTCTCTCTCTCACACACACACATACACATACACACACACACACACACACACACACACACACACCACATACATAGGACAAACCGAATAGTTCACTTTCTTTTCTTCTTATGCTTCTTATATGATGAAAGCTTATTAGTTAGAATGACTCAGATATTATATATATATATATTTATTTATATGTATTGGTATATAAATAACCTTGTAGTTATAATAAAAGCTAATGTCAAGTTATTTTCAAACTCAAACACTAACTCTACTGATTTATAGGGAACTGGTGTGAGGCACTATTCATCAGCTAGCCCTGGGTGTTAAGTGCTTCTCTGTACATGACCTTACTTATTGTACTACTGGAGGAAGTAGGCATCATTACTCTCATTCTCTACGTGAGGAATCAAGCTTGAAAAGTTAAATAGTGTGCCCAAAGTTTTACAGCACAAAAGTGATGGAGCCCGTTACTCAAATTCAGGTCTTTCTTGACACCATAGGACTTGTTTATCTCTCCATGTATATTTAAATCTTCCATGACTACACATGAACAAGAATCACTGAGGTTTTCTGAGACAGTTTAAAGAAACTGTATGCAGGCCTCCATGTTCCAAACAAACTAGATGGCCCTCTGTTGAAGGATAATTTTTTCCCTGACATCACTGTCTTCAATTGTCCTACCAGACTTTGATAAAGGAGAGCCATAGTGCTTGCTTATCTCTACGACACACTGCCTCTCCTACACATACACATGGGATCATATCTTTCTTGAGAGTCAGGTACCATAGTCAGCAGGCAAAGGGAAAATGTAAACATTTAAAATTTCCTTGAAGATTCTCTAAAATTCCCAGAAATTACAGTAGAGTACATTTTTCTTTTCTTTTAAATCTGAATTAGACTATGTTGCTGTTTCTTTGACTGAACATCAGAGGAAGTAGTTGGATCTTTCAGGGGTCATAGAATTTGAGGATGTATCTCTATATACTAGAGTCACCTTTGCGGTAGCAAGGCGCTCACATTATGAGAGCCCCACAAAAGCAAAACTGACTAATGAATCAATAGATCACGTTTCCCACCTCAGGTTTTCCCTAAGTAATACACACACTGAGTGAGTAACTTACCACACACCATTTACATTGTAATTTTCACATCTTTTCTGTATGCATTTCCTCTTTTTCTCTTGGGGAGGGCGGGGGGCACAAGGGTGTTTGCTAAGCAATAAGGGAATTCATTTAAACAAACTGCACATATGATATGGTTCCAATGATATGTATTATAAACACACACCAAGTATCCTAATACTTAGAGGAGAAGAGGAAGTGATCTGCCTGACATTTCCTGGACCCTCCCTGCCCCCTGCATTCCTGCAGCTGGCCCTACAGTTACTCTCATCCTCCAGGGGAGAGGCTCTCGAACTAAAAGCTTATTTCCGCCATGGCTGCCAATGATACAATCCTTACTTTTGAGCTGCATCATCTCAATGTAAGATTAACTAAACATATAAGCTGGGGAATTCAGCCCATGTGACAAAGACTTTGTCCTTTTTGGCAGAGTCATTACATAATGGACTCTGATTTTGTTATGCCCAGATTTCAAGACCCCAAAAGACACCACCAGGGAGTGCCAAATCCGATGCAAAAGCATAGAGTCTTTTATTCAAGCCCGGGCTTGGTCCCCCTCTGCCTCCATTACTGGATGCGAGAGAGAGCCCTGAGTCCCAAGAGAATAAAGAATTTATAGGGCTTGGGGAGGGGGGTGGAGGCACTTGGTCGATTCCAGTTGGTTGAGTGAGGGCTGGGGGCTAGTTTCCCTTGTTTTCCCATTGGCTGAGATAAGGGCAGGCTGAGTAACTGATACATTCTGTAGCTTTCCTGGGAGAGGAGTTAGGGACACAGCTATCAGTTCCGTTCTGTCCTTTTGTTAGGGACATAGCTATCAGTTCTGTTCTGTCCCTTCAATTTTATATCTTGAGTTTTCACCAAGTGACAACTGGGAAAAACAACCATATAAAATGCACCACGAACCTGTCTATAGACAGGTCTATCTGAGTCTGTTATAAAAGACACAGAGAAAACAACTGTCTTGATCCTGTGCTTGACTGAAAAATTAACATAATTTCCATCTTGTGAACACTGTCAATTTTATTAAAAATGTGTCGTGCTTTTTGCTTTGTCCAGTACAAAGTTCAGCATTAAATGGGAGAGCCATTTGCATCAACAGAGCAAGAAGGTATCTGAACTTTGCTTCTGAGCTTTAGATGACTATTTTCTCTTCATCATGTCTTATCTGTTGGCATTTATGTTCATATTTCTAAGTCGACCTCTAGCCTTATTTTGGTCAAAGCAGGATTCAAGGAACCAAGAAAAAATAAAAGTATTGGTTATCAAAAATGATTAGGCATCTTTTTAGGGCTTCATTAAAGCAATTATTAGAGTGGTACAAACCTCAGCATAACACTAAGCCAGAGTTAAGATATCTTTTCTAATCAGAAAGTTTCTAACTGAATAAACAAAATATTTCCCTTATAAACATAGCAGTTGGGACTACCATAGTAAATGAGACAGACAAGGTCTCCTCTAGAGTCTAGCGGACAATAAAGCAATAACAGCAAGTTAGACTAACATGGGGCAAGCACTGTGGGAGAAGACACTGGAAACACAAGGCCATGCCAGTGGAACCAATGAATTGGCGTGTGTTTGTTTATTTGAACTTAGAAATGACTTTCAGGATGAGGCCTATTCATACTTTGGAGCCACCTAGTCAAAGATGTTAAGAGTGAGAGTATTTCAGTGAGAAGGAAGAACCTAAGAATGGCCCAGCTCCCCAGTGAATGTTTGCAACTGGAGCTAACGATGAGGCACTGGGATTTAAAATCATGGGATTTACAAGCAAGTCCTGACTCCCTTCTTTCAGTAGCCATACCCTGAACCATTGTATGCATAAGTATATCTTTAGTCTGATAGTCCAACATCACAGCCAGGACTTCGGAATTTATGACATATTTTCCTCATTAAAAGGACCTCTGTTTCTATTGCCTTGCTTGTCTGTCTTTACTGTTAGTTAACTATTCTGATCAATAACAATTGGGAGGAGATAAAATTTTTACAAATTACACTGAGAACCTGACTTTAGCATAAGACTTGTACGGGAATATTAAATACACACACACACACACACACACACACACACACACACTGATCCAATATTTCCAAGTGGGGAAGCCTGAATATTTATCATCAGGATTCCTAAGTGTGACGATTTTGTCTCATTTTTTCAAAATCACCCAATGGAAGACCACTGACCAAACATTTGAGCCCATTACTTCCAATTTGAGCTAAATAAACATAAACAATCTTCTCTGTTACTTAATACAGATGTCTTTCTCAATTTAATCTAATACTTCAAAGACTATTTATCTAAATAATTTATTTGATTTTGTTTTGACCAAGTCAGCCAGAACCATATTCATCTCCAAAGCAAAGTGCCACCGTGATTGAGTTCTCATAATGCTAAACAATTCTCCCATTATTAGAGAGGAACAGAGGAAGAAAGTATGCATTGAGAAGTACATTTAGCCACTTTTTCTCAGGTTCCTAAATATAAGCAGTAATCCGCACTATTATCCATTACACAGAAGTAGGATATTGATTTTGGAAACTATTTTCTTCTCTGCATCACTTCCACTAATACTTTAAGTGACTTAAGTTTCACACTTTTGAAAATATTCTCTTCAAAAACAACAAAGACTTTGCAGATCTGCTTCACAGGCAGTGGGGAATGTGAGAGTAGGTATATGGTGATTACCTATAGGGTTTGTTTAATAAAGTCTGAAAAGAAGCCTGTAAGCCACAGACACGTGAAGAGGGTCATCTTAATCATGGCAATCTCTTCCTACCTGCCTCTTTGGAAATCTGCGTGAAGGATTCCACACCTTTCTCTCCGTAACTTCCTTCAGATGCGAGAGTAGACACGTAATTCCAGCCTAGGGCCTTCACAATGTCTACCATGGCCTGGGCTTGGAAGGAGTCAGGTGGGACCACGCGGGAGAAGAAGTCATAGCGCCGGTCGTCACTTAACTCAGGTGCTGTTGATGCATAACTAATCTGGGGGATCTGAAAAGACAAGAAAGCATCGCATGAGAGCAAACCACCAGGATGGGAGAAGCTCATTTACACTGACAACAATTTTCCCAAAATACAGAACTTGAGTTCCAAAGAGGATGTGTGTGTTGCCAACCCTGACTCAAAGCCCACACCCAGTGAGAAAGTCACCTGGTGGGTCCTTACCTGAGTAATTCCTCAATTAGAGAGGTAGTGAGGTGGAGGGGGAATAAAAATGGATTTGCTCTTGATAAGATGTGATTTCAAAGTTTAATGTGTTTTTTTTCCCACTAGTGTTTACTTTCGTGAACTATTTCATCTCAATGACTTAGTTGCATCATTAGTATACGATTGTTTTGAGGGGCAAGGATATAAATGTGCATTGCTTATCAGCGGTTCTCAACTTGTGGGTCACAAACCATGAAAATACATCCTGCATATCAGATATTTACATTATGATTCATAACAGTAGCAAAATTACAGTTATGAAGTAGCAACGAAAATAATTTTATGGTTGAGGGTCACTACAACATGAGGAATTGTATTAAAGGGTCACGGTATTAGGAAGGTTGAGAACCACTGGCTTAGATGCTTGTGACAGGGTGGGCACTTAATACATGGGGGTGATGATAATCAAAACAGAGAACAGCATGGGTTTCCTTACTAAGTTCACCCATTCCCCACAAGTGGATTCCCAAGTTCTCTGTAACGTTTTATCACAAACATCGCCCTCAACATTCTAAGAACATATGTTTACATCTCTATCATTGCTTTAGAAATAATATTTTATTCAACTCTTTATTATGTTCCACTCATGTTCTAAAGTTTTATATGCACTACCTTACCTAACCATCAGTAAATATTCTTTACTATACTATATATATTATACTACACTCTGCTATTATTAACTCATTTTACCAAAGAGGAGATGAGACTTGAAAATAGAATATGACCTTATCTCAGGTCATAATGTTGTAGGTCAGAGAGTAGTCCTCAAACTTGAAACTGCCCAATGCAAATTTCTGAACTATTAACTATGATACTTAGATGAATTATTACTAAAATATTTTAATAATAAGCATAAAACAAGGAAGGACCATAGATTATTAGAGTCCAGGCCAATTTCTGTCCACAGCACTGACTACTGACACATTAAGTTATTTTATAGGTCACTCTCAGCTGTTGTTCAAACATTTTATTTAAATGCCATATTAAAGCTTATATAAATATTAGAGGCCTGGTGCACAAAATTTGTGCATGGGAGCGGGGGTGTCCCTCAGCCAGGCCTGCACCCTCTCACAATCCTGGACCCCTCAGGAGATGTCCAACTGTCGGTTTAGGCCCTATGGGGTGGCCTAAACTGGCAGTCGGACATCCCTCTCACAATCTGGGACCACTGGCTCCTAACCACTCGCCTGCCTGCCTGCCTGATTGCCTCTAACCACTAGCCTGCCTGCCTCATCATTCCTAACCACTCTGCCTGCCTGCCTCATTGCCCCTGCCTCTGCCTGCCTGCCTGATTGCCCCTAACCACTTGCCTGCCTGACTCATCACCCCTAAACACTCGCCTGACTGTCTGATCACCCCTTACTGCCTCTGCCTTGGCCCCCGCAGCTGTGGCTTCATCCAGAAGGACGTCCAGAGGTTTGTTCGGCTGTCCGGTCTAATTAGCATATTATGCTTTTATTATTATAGATATTCATAGACTGAGTTCCCTATGTTTCATTTATAGTTCTGAGGTTATAAATTTTAGAAAAAGAAAATACCAACTGAATAAAGGCTTTGGGCAGAAAAATAAAAGTAAAGAAGAAGGGAAGGAGGGAGGGAGGGGAAAGAGAGGTGGAGAGAGACCTTTTCTTACAAGAAATAAAAAGGAAAGAAGCCAAGCATATCAACACATTTACATCAATTTCAACTTGTGGAAATGGAAAAGCTTCATGCAATTGCACAGCTGTCTTTCCTGCCAAAATCCCTTTCTACATTTGAAAGAGTGATAATAAAGATACACTCGGGCCTCTGCTTGAATCTGCATTTATGTAGCTGCTGCAAAATATCAGAATTGTAAAGTGCCCCAATGCAAATGCATTTTCAAAACTGTGCCCCAAATTTCAGTAATGAAAACCCTGGGAAGCAGCTTTCTTTCCTCAGTTCCATGCACCCTTTGAAAATGGGCCCTCTCTGTGGTCCATCCTTCCTACTACAAACAAGAAATATCTCCTGGCTTAAGACTCATATGTCCCTTTAGGGTCATATACACACCCTATATCCAGTGAGACTTAAGTGATGCTAGACTAAGGAGTGAAAGACTGACTGGATTTCATTTCTAAAATAAAAATGCATATTGAGGCTATAAGAATATCCCTCCTAGAATTAGGGATGAAGGACTGGAAGAATGTATGCAACCTTACATATGTTGCTGTGTACTTATTTAGCTATGATGCTGCATATTTAGTTACTTGGTTTCAAACTAATGTTTAAGCCTACGGAGTAATTATTTTGAAGTGTGTTGTAACTAGTACCTACAACTGACCAAATTATTATTAGTCATCTTTAGTGATTAACTTCCACACTCTCCTTGATCTCTGACTGTACTTCCTTTTTCTTGCCAGTCTCCTATGGAAATGCAGAATTGATCTTTTGATGAAGATAACTTAGTATAATAAAACTTCAACTATAGAAAAATAAATGTTCCATATCTCTTTGAATCTTCCTTTTTCCAATTTAAAAAACAGCTTTAATCTTCATAAGACTAAATTTTCATCTTATTTTATTATTCTTTACTCTTACATCATTAACTTTTGCCTATCAAACAAAAATGATGCTATTGATGAGTATCAAATAGAATTAAAAACATCTATAAGCCATCATATTTGTTTACAGTTTAGACTTTCATTTAGAAAAATAATGATATACATTATTTTTAAAAAATTAAAGAAACAAAACAAGAAAATAACTTTAATGCCTTTATCCCTATTAACATTTGCTATACCTCTTTATCATTTTTGTGTGCATGAGGGTATGCACATAAACGTTACTAAGCAAAAGAACATGAGTCTTGCCCTGCCGGCATGGCTCAATGGTTGAGCATCTACCTATGAACCAGGATGTCATGGTTTCATTCCTGGTCAGGTACATGCCCAGGTTGTGGGCTCGATCCCCTGTATGAGGTCTATGGGAGGCAGCTGATCAATGATTTTCTCTCATCTTTGATGTTACCATCTCTCTCTCCCTTTCCCTTCACCTCTGAAATCAATAAAAATATTTTTTAACATGAATTTTAATCTCTTCTTCCCTTCCCTAGTTTCATTTCTCTTTCTCTCACTTCCTGGTTGCATAATATTCTACTAACTAAGCCTAAGATAAACCTAATCTTCATTGTTAAATGTTTAAACATATTTCAAGTTTCCATTACCACTAGAAGTTAAAAAAATATTCTGACAGTTGATTCAAGTCCTTGTGGACATAAATGACTATTTTCTTAGATTACGGGTAAAGACTCTCCCTCACCAAAGTGACAGAAATAAATCAGGTTGACACTTAAATATTTCCCTATATGAAAATTACTTGAGGTTGTACTATAAGGTAAAGCAAACATCTATATATATTTTACCCACATGGTTAACTACTTGCCCCAGAACCATATATTAAATACTCATTATATACTGATAGGAAAGGCCGTCTTTTGTCACATTTGAAAGCCTTTAACTATCCTCGAGTCTTGGGGTGTATTCTCTACTATTTCACTTGTCTGTTGACCAAGTATTGGGCCAGTGTTGTACTATTTTCATTTTTATAAACTTAGAATTTTTAGGACTAGATTAATTAGAACACCTTCTCTCTTCATAACTGTTCTTTCGAAAAGGACCATGGGTAATCATACATGTTTAACTTTTCAGCTGAACTTTAGCACAAATGTTTCAATTTAGCATAATAATGTTCCATTAAGATTATGATGAGAATTTCATATATATATATATATATATATATATATATATATATATATATATAATTTGGGAAGAATTGATACATTTATAATGTTTTATTTCCCCCTATGGGAAAATATTTTTCACCCATTCCATTATTCATTCGTTTCTCTTAGTAAAATTTTATCATTGTCTCCATGTGGGTGACATTATTTCTAGATAATTATTATTTTTATTACATTACGAATGATATCAAATTTTCATTTTATTTTTATATGTTGCTGGTATGTAGGAATCTATTAATATTGTATATTTAGTTTATGACTTACAACCCTGTTAAAATTCATATTAGTTCTAATAGCTTTCAGTTTATTTTCTTGGGATTTATAGGTAAGCAAGCCACATTATAAGACTTAATTTAGTTTTCTTTTCTAACTACATTAGCTAGAATTTACAGGAAAATAAGAATGATAGTAATGGAAATAGTTTGTCTTTTTCCTATTTCTCTACAATAAGCATTTAAAATCAACTAACATCTATTCTAATTTCTTATCTTAAAATGCATAGTCAAATTAAGATGAGTATCTTCAAATAGTTGAAAAATTACCATCCTTCAAAGATTATCTTTTGCAAACAAAAATCTCAGTTTTTCCAATTATTTCTCCTAAGACATGAATCAGGTGATGGCAAGATGAAAAATCAGTTTCAAGGAATCAAGTTTTTGAAACATAGTAGTTCTCACATCTTGGTCATCATTTAAAAGTTATGTGAAACTACAGCGGGAAGGCTGGGGAGGGCTGGGGGTTGGGAGGGGGGGTAAGAGATCAACGGAAAGACTTGTATGCATGCATATAAGCATAACCAATGGACACAAGACACTGGGGGGCATGGGAGGCTAGGGGAGGGTCAAGGGGAGAAAAAAAAGTAGACATATATAATACTCTTTGTAATACTTTAAGCAATAAAACAATTTAAAAAATAATTAAAATAAAAAATAAAAAAAGAAAAGTTGTACTACAGGTCATGGGATCAGCAGTCCCTGAGGTTTTGGAATAAAAGACTTCATTTATTTTAAAAAAAAAAAGTTAT